TCGCCACAGTTTTTGTGCACAAACGACCGGACTTGGTGCACATTCATGCACAAACGATCTGTCCAAACAGAATTTCGAAATTCCAAATCGGGGGCCCGTAGAAATGTACCCTTCAAAAGGAACTGTTTCAGGTTTAAAATTATATCCTATGATAATATGTTTGTGTCACGGTCTAAGATATCTTAGTCCGTGGTTTGTGTATTATATTATTTAAATTAAAATTTGTTTGTGTAAGCTAGTACCTAGGTATGTGTTTGTGAAAAGGTGTTTTCCTTCATGTATAGATTTTATTAATTTAAGTAGATTGTTTTATTGTGTGAAACTACTAACTTTAATAGGAACTTATATTTCACTAGTTACTATAAATGTATTCATCAGACATCTATGTATTAACAGAAAGCTTTTGTATATGTGTWATTGTTTTGTCCTATTAATTATTATAATATTTGAGTTTGGTATGTACATTTATATTTTATTTATTGCCATTTAACACGTTGACGGACACTCAGAACTACCATTTTGTTCTACAGCCATACTTTAAAATGTCACTTTTTCATTACTGCTATAGCAGTGAAATTAATGTTACTGCTATAGCAGTAATGCCTTTATACGCCTAAATTTTGATGTACATATGCCAAAATCATTAAATTACTGCTATAGCAGTATTGTAATTTTTTCGATTTTTGCCCTTTATTTTTATCAAAACATGTCAAAATAAATCTTTAATTTAATTACATTAGTACGTTGTTGATATGATAAATAATAAAATGATACATTTTTTTCGATTTTTGCCCCTTATTTTTATCAAAACATGTCAAAATAAATCTTAATTTAATTACATTAGTACTTTGTTAATATCGAGGTTAATATGATGAATAATAAAATAATACATTAAACTTAATAAAATAACATTACACTCTGGTTTAGTTGTTCTAAAAACAAAAATTTAAATATTAGATTATTTTTTCAAGGAATGGTACATTTCAAAACATTTTGCTGGACATAATGGAACAACACATTGTTTACATTGCAGATATGTTTGTCTTCTGCGTTTGATGTTCAGGCTGTAACACTATAGACAATTTTTATAATATTTTTTTCTTTTGTAACCCGATGGAATTGGTATATTCTCTTAAAAATGAGAACTGTCAGCAACGTTTGTAGGTTTTTTTCTTCCTTTTTTATTTTTATTTGCTGTAGAAATTTCATAACTTGTAATATTTGGAGGCAGCGAAATTAAATCCTTGATTATCATGTCCCTAAAATCCTTGAAATTTTTATTTTAATCATTAATTTTTTTTTTTGTTTATATAATAAGTGTTCCATCAGCAAGGTCTAATAAATTAAGTATAACTTTCTTATACCATTTACATGTTTTTCTGGGTGAACTGTAATAGTTAACCATTTGGTCACATCTATCAACTCCACTCATTTTTTGATAATATTTTACAATTTCTATAGGTTTTAACTTTTGTTGCTCATATTTTTGGTTGATGTGACGATTTGTGGATGATATTTGGTAGTGATAATTGTGACGTCTCGTTTGTCTTTCCATTTTGAAATGTAAATTTCATTTTTTCTCTGCTATACGTGATCACCCTTTTGCAATTTCTTTTTAGTTACCTCTTCAGGATTTCCTTTCCTATTGCTTCTCAGAGTTCCCGTACTATGTGTGTTTTTTTTAAATAATAATTCGGAAAGAGTAGCGCTGTTATAATAATTGTCCATGAATAAACTGTGGCCTTTGCATAAATATGGATCCATAAGCCTAAGGACTAGGCTATCTGTTTTAAAATTTGTTGACGGCAATAAATAATTATTTTTACCCTTATAAACTTCAATATTTAACACGTATCCGTCAGGATCACATAGTTCAAAAAACTTTATCCCATATTTTGTCTTCTTGTCCTTTATATACTGCCTTAAGCTTAATCTTCCRCGATGTAACAGTAGTGACTCATCTAAAGATAAATCTTCTCCCGGGTAAAATGCTTTTTGGAAATTTGCAATTAGTATTTTCAACAATGGATTTAATTTGCTCATTGGGCCAGTATCTGTGGATAGACCTGAATATTCAACGCTGAAGTACGCGATAAGCTGTTCAAAACGTCGCCCTGACATGGTGTATTTTACTATAGGGTGATAATAGAGGGTGATTTTTTTATCGTGAACCAGTTATCTCGGGAAGTATAAGGAATTTTAAAATAATTTTTTTTTAAACTTTCTAGGTTTTACTATTTTACACTGTGTTACAATTTTGATATTTTTAACTTCCTCCCTTATTTTATAAAACACTATCAACTTTCGATTTTCAAATGGCAATACCTATTTTCAATAACGAAAATCTGTAAACATATTGAAAAAAATAATTTTAACGTTTACAGAATTTAATTTGAGTAATCCGTTTGCGACTTATTAATGCTTAAATATTCATTCAATTTACTGCTACTGGGCAATTTTATAAACCCAACAATAAAAAACCAAAGTCAAAACGAAATTTTATCTCAATTTAACAATACCCATAACGGTCATAATCGATAATAATAAGATATTAGATAAACAATACTATTAGAAAAAAAAAAAAGTGTCCTATCGCCACTCCCGCCGGAACACCGAGTGTCAGTGAACAACTAGCCACTAGCCAGCAGCAGCGCGACTGTATCAACTATAAAGTATAAAAATAACATTTTACAATTTACTATCATGGTTACAAAATATAGTACCTACTGGTTACTGATTTCTGGTATACGGTCTTATCACGTATTAGTAGATAAACGATAATAAATGCCGGTAAACTGTTTCTGAAAACATGTGGTTGTTGCTTAATCGTTAATGTATTAGTTTCCCATTATCAAATATGGAATATTAATTATTAATTATTTCTTTGAATGTTTAACCAAAGAATACGTTTTAAGTAAGTACTAAATTATGTGTATTATTTAAAATATAAATTTAAAGTTTAAGCCAATTATTCCAATGCATACCTATTATATTTTTTGATTGTGTTTTAATGTTGCATTTCGGTTAGCAAATTTGAATTTAATTAAAAATACACTTCTCCAATCCAATCACCAATATTATTATGTATAATATGGGAATCAGAATTCATACTTCGCCGACAACTTTATTTGTATAATTTATTGGTAAGTTCAATCTAAAACTAATATATTAGAATTTATATTTTTTTATCAAATGATTTATACCAACATATTGTTGACAAATAATAACCATGATTCAAATATTTTAATTTTATTTCAGTGGCAATTCGTAGAATTGGTGTAATTAATCAAATATAACATTAAACTATATGACTAGACAGCTCAATTTGACCAGAAATTAATGCAAATTTACATTGATTTTTATTGGTGTCTGATGACTATAAATTATTATGGAATAAAAGAATATTATAATATTATAATACATATTTCTATATTTTATTTATAATGATTAACCCTTTCAGGCCCAACAGTAGAGTTTTAAAACCAAAAWTTTTTTTTTTGCTTAGTTTTTTTAATTACATCTAAATTAAGAGAAAAAATATGTTTTCAAAATGTTTGATGAATTTTCCTAGCCAGGAAAAACATAATGCCTAAAGTTATCATTGGGAATTTAAGGTTATAATAATGGTTTTAGAAAATGTATTTAATGTTTTGCAACTTTCACTTTAATTCTTTATTATTCAAACAAAATATAACACAAAGTAAATTTCTTTTAATATTATACAAAATAGATAACAGCACAAGCTTAAAATACATTTAAATATAAAATAATTAATTGCAGGAACTTTCTTTAGAGCCTTCATAGATAATATCACAAATTAATTTCTTTTGAAATGGTATAAAACAAATACAATTTTTTAACATAACATGCTTACTACATCTTTTGTACACATCCTCATTAAATAAACTTTTATCTTAAAATTATATAAAATACATAAATATAACATAATACGTACAAAATATATTTAAATATAAAATAAATAATTAACCGAAGGAAAAGTCTTTAGAATAAAATAATAATCAAAACAATTACATTTTTTTTTTTGGAACTTTTTTTAGTGCTAACATTCATAAATTATTTTTTTATTTTCTTAATCCATACATTTTAAAATTGTTCCATTTCTGACGCAGAGACAGCAATGCACTTCCCACTTTTTTCAGTAGAATAAATCTGTGGCATTAGGGTAAATGTACATAAGTTATAAATAGCAAATTTTCAGGAAG